AATATCTTATACATTTAAAACGTTATGAATGAATTCAGGAGTGAAGGGCAAAAGCTTACATTTTATGCAACTCTATCAATGTACCACTATCTAATCCACTTATGTGTTTCTTCATATAAAGAATGCAAATATTACATTAAAAAGAATGCAAGATCATACCTCCTGAAGACTTGGTAAAAAGTAAAATGACACAGCTGCCTCCAATTAGAGGATAATGATGCAACCTGTGTCCACCCCAGTTCCCCAAAGAAGTAAATTCATATTCTCTTAAAAGTCAAATTACATGTTTGTGTCCAGAGCTGACTTCTGTATGTCGTTAATTTTAACATAAAACCATTAAAAACATCTAATTTGTCACATTTTAATTAAGCACCAAAATTCCCACACAATGCCAGAAGTTACACATTCAGATCCCCTGACTTCATTTGATTTAAAGACTGGTTAGTATTAATCCTTAATGACCGATATAAACATCATTCCTCAAGAAATGAATAGGATTCAGCATCATATCTCCCCAGGAAAACACAGCGCTGGGCTCAGTTTCACAACTACTTTGTTTTTTGAACATTCCTTTAATTCACTAAATAAAAATCTGCCCACAGGTAAGTGAACTAAGTGAAATCTACTGATACTTAATTGAGATGATGTGACAAAGCAGAGACTACCCAAATTATCATTCCCCTCCATTTTCCAGTTCATTTCCCCAGTAAATCACACCAGGGTTAAATAAATAATACAGAGAACTATTTGAAAGACTTGATATCTAGTTTTTATATATTGCTGTCCTACGTCTAGTGAACTATCAAGGACTTTGACCAACTTTTCCAGTACTGGAAATAGATTTAGGGTGATTACATGTTTAGTACTTTTGATCAATGGCATGTATTTCACGGAGCAAGGGCATAGGATATGTCTTTGACAAAACAAACTGGCTTACACACAAGTGAACCTATTAACCTGAGCCTTATTTATGCTCTAAACTGAAAAGCCTAGGCTTTTAAAATTTTTAGTAAAATTCAAGAATTTAAACAAGATAAAATCAAGATAACTTCTTTTATTTTCAGCTTGCAGTTCCAAAGGATATATTTCTGATTATAAGTGGGGTGTTATTCTCACACCACTTTGGGGAGGGTAAGATTCTAAGTTCCTTTAGGGCAAGGACCCCAACTTATACCTATTTCTACTTTATCATACCAACTTTTATTTTTGTTCATTACCTCTCAAGTGACCCACGAAATTTAGAACTTTAAAGCCCTAAAGAAGAGCAATCATTTTTTTTAAACTATGATTTTCAGCCTCTCATCTTCCCTGTAGTTGGCACAAAGCCACACTTTTCACAAGGTATACTGCATTCAGCTTAAATCAGCAAAAATTTTGAGAGCATACTCTATGTTGAGCATACTATTAGTGCTACAGGAGATTAATAAAAATCTTTTTTTCTCAAGAAATTTATGTGTGAAAAATCAAACCTGGTGTGTAAAAGTTAAAAAAAAATACAAAAGCAGTATATAACCCAGGGCTAAAATGAGTTACATATATTAAATGCCAAACTAATGAGATATTTAATAAATTTATAAAATTAAAAAAATGTCTTGGAGATTACATTGCTTTGTGTATTTTGCTGCTTATATAGTTATTAGTTCTTTAAGGAATCTACTCTGCAATTTTTTTTTTAAATTGGGGTATAGTTGTTTTACAATGTTGTGTCTGCAATGTTAATAGGAATGAAAATAAAAGTAATTTCTTCCACAATGCACAGAATTTTTTTAAATTGTCATGAACAACCCTGACATACTTCCTTCAACAACTTTCTACATTCCAATGCATATTTCCATTTTCCCTGTACCCATCTTCATGTTTCTGATTTGTGGCTGTCTTGTCTCCACTGAACACAATCAATTTTCTTTCCTTTTTGTTGGTGGAGTACACATCAGTTGTTTTGGTATAATTAAAACTATTCATTGTATGAGTGAGAAAAGAGATTTAAATGAAATCAAATATTCTCATATTTTTTCTGATAAAAGACCAAATTATCTAATCTATCCTTCATGATATATATAAATATAAGCACAAAACAATGAGTATTTTAAAATCTTCAGACCTGCCTTATGAATAACTATATATACAGCAACTATATATAGTTATATACAATGGTTGCCTATAATTGAAAAACTGTATGCTATCCATGCATCACTGGTTTAGATTTTGTTGAATACACAAAAGAATTAATTCTATGTATTGTTTTATACCATTCATTCACACAGTGCCATCTGCACATTTTTTAAGAACAAAAAACAAACAGAAGAAACTTCAAAAGTTTACTAACAGATAAATTCATGAAAGTGTTTTTAGGAAATATAGCTACATTTAAAGCTTACTTACTTTAGTAATATATGTGTTACACTTTATATTGTTTCAGTTCAAAGATGAAATAACTACAGCTTCCCTGGTGGAGCAGTGGTTAAGAATCCGCCTGTCAATGCAGGGGACATGGGTTCAAGCCCTAGTCCAGGAAGATCCCACGTGCCGTGGAGCAACTAAGCCCGTGCGCCACAACTACTGAGCCTGCGCTCTAGAGCCCGTGCTCCGCAACAAGTGAAGCCAAGACGATGAGAAGCCACGCACCGCAATGAAGAGTAGTCCCTGCTCACCGCAACTAGAGAAAGCTCGGCGAAGCAACAAAGACCCAATGCAGCCAAAACAAAACAAAACAAAAAGAACAAATAAATAAATTTAGAAAAAAAATTACAGGGGCTTTCCTGGTGGCACAGTGGTTGAGAGTCCGCCTGCTGATGCAGGGAACATGGGTTCGTGCCCCGGTCCGGGAAGATCCTACATGCCGTGGAGCGGCTGGTCCCGGGAGCCATGGCCGCTGGGCCTGCGCGTCCGGAGCCTGTGCTCCGCAACAGGAGAGGCCACAACAGTGAGAGGCCCGTGTACCGTAAAAAAAAAAAAAAATATATATATATATATATATACACACATATATATATATAAAAGAAGTAACTAGGCCTATTTTTTTAAAGAGGATTTTCCTGGATTTTTGTTATAAACACTGTGAAGCAAAGTATGTTTTTATAGGTCTTGAGTTCATGCACAATATGTTTCTGGGATCACAGCCCAAAAGAAAAACACTGCAACTCACTGGGGAATAATATTTAATGGCAAAAAGAAAAAAAAACTGGGGATGGAGAGAATGAGTAAGGAAAGAATAAACAAAAAGATGATAGACAGAATGTAAAAGGTTTATGAGAAATTGAAAAATATATTTAGGACAAAAATATTAACATAGTTTATGATATTGTAAAAACTTATTTGGCTGAAAAAAATTCTCTAAAATTAATGTAGTCAACATCACATGTTAAGTATATTAAACAACATGTACAATAAGGATACATGTCTTATTTGGCTACTTTTGAAAAATGATTTATTTTTCCCCTAATCTGAAAGCAGTCTAAGGTAGCCATCCCTATTAAAATGTCTTATTTAGGGAAATATACTGTAGAAATTCAAACATTCTAATTCTACCTCAATAATTTGTTGATGTAATAGTCTCAATTCTAGATCTTTAAGAACTATTAGTTCTGAAAAGTTTAGGTATACATGTACTAGAAAATAGTGGCTGAATCAAATAAGCTCTGTAATTTGATATAAATAAAGCTACAAAGCACTGACATCACCAAAGAAAGAACGTAGTGTGAAATATTAACTAAATGGTTGGGTTTTAAAGATGTGGAATTCTGTATATCTCAAAGAATCCCAATAATACATTAAGTTCCTTGGATCCTCAGAGAAACCCATTTCCAAGCATATGTGCACAAGTACCTTAGCCTCTTCATGCCTGCTTGCCTGTACCACAGTCAGAGAAGGCAGGATATTTGGTTAGGCATATGTTTATGAATAAAGACAGGAAAATTCCAACTTTAAAACCAAATATTTTCCTTGTTTAATTCTGATATCTTATTGGTCCATATGTTGCCTCCTCCTCACAGTATGGTCCCCTCCTCACAGTATGTTACCAAAAATCTAGATTTTGACTTTCTTTTAAAGCATAAGGATAACATCAAGCAGACAGAATTGAGGAGTGGAAATACTGTCTGAGAAAGAAGAGCAAAACTGATGATAATCTAAATACATACTGACACATTTACTGAAGACATTAGGTGCTCCATAAATGCTTACTGAAATGCTGTTTTGTGACATTTGTTGTGATAAATTCATCTCTTTAAGAATCCTCATGAGTTAACCACAACCAGTTCAGTATAATTTAATAGAAAACATCTGGTGGCACTTTTAAACGCGTAAGAAGAGCATTTCACAAACCACTGCAGCAGGAGAAAACGAGGCTAACACAGAGAAGCAGAGATGAAGAGCAGGAGAGTCCTGAACACATCATTTGATTATATGAGTTGGGTCTTGCCTGAGACCAGCCCCTCTCCTAGATTTTCCACAGAGTGCCCAGAAATTCCTTTTCTCTTTTTGGCTTAAGCTAGCTGCATTTCAGTTTCTACAATTTGCAACCAAGAGAACGCTAGTATAGAGTACCTGTCCAGTGCAAAAAAAATCTTGTTTCTGCCTCCACATATTCATATGTAAATATCAGATTCCCATCAGTATCCTATTATAGTAATTGACAATGTGGCTGTAACAGGAAAAGAAACAATAAGCCTGAAATATAACCTCAATCCCACTTAGAGATTCATAATACAAACTATAAAGATTCTGAGTTCTCCAGTAAAGAAATCTCTATAACTCAGCTGAACTCACATTTACAAATCATATTAGAGCACAGAATCCTTGTTAATGAAGCTCTTATGTCTTTTAGAACTGCTAATTGGCACAGGTTGGGAAATGCAACTTGAAAACATGGCCGTGATCCTTTAGATCTAGCATCTGAAGAAACATTGAAAAAGCATTCCTAACTGCTTTCTAACATACATATCACAGAACACAAATTTGAATGGAAAAGTAGTTCATCTTCTAGATTGAAACTAACTTACCTGCATTGAAATAAGAATGAAATCAATTAGGCTCCCAATTCCACAAAATCCTACAGTGCAAAACTTTAACAAACCTAGAAAAGAAGGTAAAGTCATTTACAACCTGGAAAGTCTTATAAATATTAATAAACTTTTCCATTTCCCAATAAACCATTATATATAACACAAATGCTTTATATCGACAATATAAAATTAACACTTTAAAAAAATCAAATCTTGGGCTTCCCTGGTGGCGCAGTGGTTGAGAATCTGCCTGCCAATGCAGGGGATGCGGGTTCGAGCCCTGGTCTGGGAAGATCCCACACGCTGCAGGGCACTAGGCCCATGAGCCACAATTACTGAGCCTGCGCGTCTGGAGCCCATGCTCTGCAACAAGAGAGGCCGCGAAAGTGTGAAGCCCGCGCACCGTGATGAAGAGCGGCCCCCGCTTGCCACAAGTAGAGAAAGCCCTCACACAGAGACGAAGGCCCAACACAGCCATAAATAAATAAATAAATAAATAAATAAATAAATAAAGCAAACTGTCAACAAGTAAAAATAAAGAAACACTATTAAAAAAAAAATCAAATCTTCACCTAAAAATATGAGAAAAGTTTAAAGGGCCCTCTACATAGAAAAGCCAAAAAAAATTAATTCACTTAAATAAATAATAAGAACTGAAATAAAAACTCAATGTAATCTTACAAAACTTCTTAAGAGAAAAGTTTTGTAATCTTACAAGACTTCTAAGAAAATAAATCTTTAAATCTCATTACACCAGAGTTACAGAACATCTTTTAGTCTTAAAATCCTTATTTATTTATTTAGACTTAATACATTATGGATCCAAATTTTAATATGCATTTACAGTAGAAAGTTCAAATAGACAGTCAAGGCACAGAAAAAATAATCAGAAAAAAACACTGATCTTGTAGTTAAACAGCAAAATTCTATCAGTAACCCAATTATCTTGAAGTTATCCTATACTGTACTTTTTCCCTAAGCATTTTATGTTTTTTATTAGCCCAATAGTCAAAATCAACAACTCTGTGAGCTATATACACCTGTCCTTGGTTCCAACCTTAAAGCTAAGGTACTAAAATAGATGATAATAGAGCATAGAATCTAGGACACATACAATGATATAACACAAAAATATAATGATGAAATTAGAAGAGGCAGATTGGGGGTGGGGGTGGGATGAGTAATCTCTCTTCTATATTTAAACTTGAGCTGCTTTCCAGATATCCCATTTGAGATATAAAAATGGTATGAAGCAAGACTCTTCGTGAAAGGGTAGTTCTAAGCATCAACTACAAATATATATCAGCTAAAATTGTAAGACTGGATGAGATCACCTCTTGCACACATTTGGAAATACATAAAAAAGACTGAAATATGTAGGTAAATTAGATGATTTCCACCCACCCCACCACCCCTTATTAGTATTAGATATACAGTAGAACAATGTTTTAAGTACTGCTATAACACATGTTGGAAATGATTTTAAAACTTAAAATATAGATACTATATAAAATTATGCACTTAGTTTTCTTCAAAATACTTATTACCTACCTAATATTTTATATTGTTTACTATTTGTCTCATGGAAGCCCTGTTAGGGGAGGGTCTTTTATATGTCTTGTTCAATTCTGTGTCCTTATTACCTACAACATTGCCTGGCACATGGGAGATGCTCAATATTTGTTGAATAGATAAATTTTCTCAGCTTTTCTGTCTCCTAAAGACCCCTAACTTTTTATCCACTATCTTACATAACAACTCCTTTAATTATTCTTTTCATTCATTGCATTTTACTATAGTTGCCCAAGGAACTTTATCCACTCACTCAGTATATGTACTATATCCATTCACTCACTTATTTTATTTCTGAAATGTATCCCTCTTCACAGAGCATTTTGGAAATACCACAGAGTTTCCCTTCCTTCAACTTGTTTACAAAAAGAATATTAAGAATGGTCAAAAAAAGTTTGTCTTTAATGAACTGCTGCTCTATGAAAAAAATGTAACCATGTCAGAGCCTTTGCCCTTGTCATCCCATCTTCCAGTGATGTTCTTCCTGTACCTCTTCTTCAGAGAAGTCTTTGTAACCCAGCATGCTGCTCCCCGTAGCAGCCCCAGCACTGTTATCACATCTGCCCTATTTATTTCCGTCATGGTGCTGATCAGAAATCATTCATTGGTTTGTTCATTCATTCTCTTTCTTCCTATGCCATGTAAACTCTTAAAGGCAGGGTTCTTATCTGTCTTATTCAAGTCAATTCCTGGAACAGTACGTGACAGAAAGTAAGAGTTTAATAAATATCTGCTGTAAGGCTATGAAAAAATTAGAAACAATCTAAGTATCTAACAGGGAGAAATTGTCTCAAGAAATTAAGATAGACCTAACAATAGGAGAAAATACTATGAAGTCATTTTAAAACAATGATATAGAAGTATATTTATTGGCAAAGTAATGATAACACACAGAGAAAGATGTGAGTCAATTAAAGTCTAGATATTCAGTTGCTAAACCCCTTCTGTAAGGATGTTTCAGAAGATTGAACACGAAAGGTTCCTGTTCAGATAAAATATTAGATAAATTAGATAAATATTAGATAAAATGTTAGATACATGTATTTGGAACTTTGGTAAATTTTACCTACTCCTGGAGTAACGCTTTTCAGAAACTATAGAACAGATCCAAGATGATATTTAAGCATTTAAGGAATCTGCAAACTAATCAATGATGGAAAGCAGGTGAGTGCTTGCTTGGGAAAAAGCAGGACAAGGAGGGCCAAGAGGCAGGGATTACAAATAGGCATGAGGACACTTTGGGGAGTGACAGATATGGTCATTATCTTGATCATGGTGGTTGTTTCACAGGTGTATACATGTCTAACTTATAAAACTGTACATTTTAAATATGTGCACTTTAAGAGATAATGAGTCAAAGTAAAAACTTAGAATAGTACATGGTACATGGCAAACATACGATAAATGTTAGCCCAGCCGCTACTTGTGCTACCACTATTTCTACCATATTACAATTATTATTATAATTGAGAAATTTATACAGCATAAACCCACATCATTTACAGTAGCATCATCTAACCTAGCCTCACCTCTTGCAAATTCCTTCTGTCTGTGTTACAGTCAAACTACCCGAAGTTCTCTTCCAATGGGCTGTGCTCTCATACCTGCATTTATATGTGCTATGCTGTCTTCTGCCTTGCCTCCTCTGCTGCCCCCCACTATTCCCAATCATCTAGCTAACTCTTTTTGGGCCTCTCACTGCTGCGGCCTCTCCTGTTGCGGAGCACAGGCTCCGGACGCGCAGGCTCAGTGGCCATGGCTCACGGGCCCAGCCGCTCCGCGGTATGTGGGATCTTCCCGGACCGGGGCACGAACCCGTGTCCCCTGCATCGGCAGGCGGACTCTCAACCACTGCGCCACCAGGGAAGCCCCCTAGCTAACTCTTAATAGTCTTTCTTAAAACTTCTGGAAAGTTTTCTCTAATGCTCCCAGGATGAATTTAATGCCATCCCTAGATGCTCCCTACCACCCTGCCCTTAACTTTCAGCAGAGCACATATCCTATGGTATGATTTATTACATATTTATTTGTCTGACTTCCCCTATATCCTTCCTTCCACAAGCAACTTGAAGTCAGGGCTGTGTCATTTCTGTGCCTAGTCAATATGGCTACTGAAGGAATAAAATATATCAATAGTAAATTATCTTATTTGTAAACAAACACTGAGCAACTTGAAAAACACAAAGTAGCATACATTCTAAACAGCATTTATTAAAACTGAAAACGAGCAGAACCCTGTGGGGCCCCTGGGCACAGAAGTCTTTCTGTCCCCCGTTTTCTTGTTTGTAGGGAAGAGGATCCAGTCTCCATGACCTTCTCTGAGTTCCAAAGGGCAGACTCAAACAGTTGCTAATCAAGAGAGGAGCAGCCAAGAAACTACCTGAGGCCAGGAACCAGAGAAGCTCATCAAGATTATCTGAGACCAGATTAGAGAAGTGCAGGCCCTGTACGCAACCTAATCTTGTCAGCAACCCCACCCTCGAACTACTGCTATAAAACACCTCATCAAATCCTCCTGGGTTGGGACACATAGTTTTTGACTGCAGGAGCCCGCTGTGTCCCCCTTTGGCTGGCAAAGCAATAAAGCTATTCTTTTCTACTTCACCCAAAACTCTGTCTCCGAGATTCAATTTGGCACCGGTGCACAGAGGCCAAGCTTTCGGCAAAAAACAATGCAAACCGTTACTCTTACAGATTTCATTATTTTGAGCACCAATACCAGTTTTTAAAAGATGGAGAGGTATTAGTGAACTACCAAAAGTAGATTGACTTTTTTGTCCAAGTAAAAATTTGTTAGGTCTCTTTGTACAGACCCCATTTACTTATCTTATTGTGGAAAGAAATATTATATTTAGATTTTAGAGATTGTTTTCAAATTCCAATTAACAATGTTTCCAATCAAGAAGGATCCATTTTTATCTTGAACCATTACTATTGTAGATATATTTTTCCAAAAAGATTCTGCTGCCAGATGACATTAATAAACCTCATGTTTTTAGTGTACTTTATTTATACTTCAGTAACTTAAACTTTACATTTAAAAGTACACAAATTCAGGGCTTCCTTGGTGGCGCAGTGGTTGAGAGTCCGCCTGCTGATGCAGGGGACACGGGTTCGTGCCCCTGTCCAGGAAGATCCCACGTGCCGCGGAGCGGCTGGGCCCATGAGCCGTGGCCGCTGAGCCTGCGCGTCCAGAGCCTGTGCTCCACCACGGGAGAGGCCACAACAGTGGGAGGCCCGCGTACCGAAAAAAATAAAAAGAACAAAAAACAGTACACAACTTCAATAAAAGAATTTATTTGGGTATAAAATAAAAAGAACAGAGATTCATTTTTGGTATTCTAAAAAATTTTGGTACTTTTTGTTTTATTGCAGGTTGAATCTTGCAAATACTTTTGTTTCTGTATAACTATTTTAGAGAATGCAGATGATTATTTCATACTGAAGTTGCTGTTTGCCAAATCCCAAGCATTCTATAACGATTTGGTAATTAGTTATC